AATTCTGCCTCCAGTACCCATTAATAGCGTGACTTTGGGCAAGTTCCTTACCTCCTGGGCACCGTGGCCTCCTCAGCTGTGGGAGTGGATAATAGCCATCTGCAACTTGTGGCGGCGAGGGGCTCGGGCTGGCTGGGGCTGCCAGGAGGACAGCCCTGGGGAGAGAAGGGCAGGACGGGCCTTTGAGAGGAGGCCCTGGCTGGGCAGCACCTTGCCTCTAGAGGCCAGCGGGCTCTCTGCTCCCCTATCCCCTGGCCAGTCACAGGATGGGGAGAAGCAGAAGCTCGCCATTTGCCACAGATGGGAGGGGGCCAGGGAATGACAAGCAGCCCCAGCCCTTACTCCGTAAGCCCAGAGTCAGAGTGAAACCTGGGTGGCTGTGCCTCACAGCGCACCCCATCTGTGGGGATGATGAAAAGCCGTGCTGGGTCCCCAGGGCTCATGCCCCTCCCCAGATTCCTGCAAACCCTGCCTCCTGCTGCCCGGCCCTCACCCTCACCCTGCTCTGGGCGGGGCTTTTGTCCTGACAGCTGTCGAGGGCACCCACAGGTGACTCTGGCAGGAGCCACCTGGGCAGGCCTGCTGGGCTGTACCTGCCAGTTTCCTGGTCAGTGACTCAGATTCCCCAGCGGAGTCTGGGCAGGGGACTGGAGGAGGATCCTAGAAGGGACAATGGCTGGAGTAGTCCCTCTTGCAGTCCTACCCCAGAGGTCCTGTTTCCCTCAGCTCTCCCACACTCCCCTAGGGCCAGCCCCCGGCCACCACATCACCATGGAGATGCAGGTGGTCCTGAGATGACAGGCCCGGCCCAGCCCCCTCCACCACTGAACATCCACCCAGGGACAGCAGCACACAGAGACACACGTAGACACAGAGATACACAGACACAGAGACACACTCACAGATACACACTTACAGACTCAGACACACAGTCCAAACACAGACACTCACAGACACGCAAAAACACATAGAGAAATACGAACAGGCAGACAGGCAGAGACCGCTAATGGTGGGGCGTGCACACACCCGCCTGAGTCTCATTTTCATTTAGTGTCAGAGCCCACTCCTCACTCAACTCAGACCCCGGATGGTTTTCACACTTGAGGGAAACTCTGGGTCTCACTGACTCAAGGACCAAGTACACTCCAGAATTGCAGGTCCCGAGACCCTAAATAGCTCAGTCAAGGATGAACAGTCTCTCAGCCTGGAGAGATGATTTAGCCATCTCCCACACTGTCCCACTGTGAGCTTTTATTAATTCACTCAACAAACAGTGTATGTTATGCTGGGCACTCGGAAACAAAAATGAACAAGACAGAATTGGGGTCCTCAAGGGGTTCTCAGCCCAGTGGTTAGAGAGGTGAGGCAGGTAGAAAGCAAACCTGTCATGGTGCCTGGGGAGAGGCAGTCCCACTCCCCCAGCCCACCAGGGGTTGCCTCAATGGATCCTCTAATGGAAATGGCCAAGTCTCAGGGCCTGCCTGGTGTCCTTCCCTGCCCGTGAAGGACGGCAGGGCACAAACTTCATTTCCTCTCCCTTACTCCTGCCCCCACTTCCTTCTGCAGCCAAGTAGACAGTGCTGTTCTCTCAAGTTCTGTGACCACAGGGTTCCTGGTCAGACCAAGGGGAACTCTAGACCCCTGCCCTTCTCACCTTTCCCAAGAACTCGGGAGCCAGAAATAACTCATTTACCTGGGGCCAGGAAGCATGCAAGCCCCTTCTGCTGGAACCTGTTTGTGCCAGAAGCAACCCTGGGTTCCCAGGGTGAAAGGCATTCCCTCTGGACCACCACCCCAGGACCTCCAGTGATCACTGGTCCTCAAGGGAATCTGTTCTCCTGTACTTGACAAGCTCCCAGTTTTACTCTTT